CTGAAAATAAAAATTTCTCAAGAAAAAAAAATTTCAACAGTAAATACGATCAATGTATAAAAAATAATTGCTTCAATTGAAACATCAAGTATGAGAGAGAAAAAAATTTAAAATCATAATCTATGATTTTTGTTATTTACATGAGTGCTTTTTTTATTATTTATTAATCAATAAAAATTCCAGAAATTGTTTTATGAGAATTGTAAAAAAAATTAACAAACAGGATACGTGAAAAAGTTCGAATTAGTCCAAGAAGATATTTTGAAAACTGCATCATCAGAGATGAAACTGCGTTGAAATTCCATGAACACAATTCCAAAAGCAAAGGCGAAAGCTGCTAAGGAAAAAATTTGTTTCTTCGTTAAGAGGAATCATATTTCTCCTTAATTGAGGCGAGATGAGAACGATAAAATTCAGAGCAGCAGTGGCAGAGGCATAACTAAACTTTCTGTAAGTCACTTGTAAAGGAAAGGGATTTCAATAAAAACATTTTAATTATCAGGAGTTCGATGCAGTTTTTCTTTTTACTCCAAGGAAAGAAATTGAAGCTCAGCTATCTAGTAGTATTGTATTCATCGCCTTCAGAACGTAGACATAACATGCNTGTAAAGGAAAGGGATTTCAATAAAAACATTTTAATTATCAGGAGTTCGATGCAGTTTTTCTTTTTACTCCAAGGAAAGAAATTGAAGCTCAGTTTTCTAGTAGTATTGCATTCATCGCCTTCAGAACGTAGACATAACATGCAGCATACTCAAACGGAAAGTCGATGATTTTTAAGACAAGTTCCACTGGCCGTAGGTATCATTTATGCCGGCCAGGCGGCCGAGTGGTTAGCGTGCCTGACTGCGAAGCCAATGGCTGCGGGTTTGAATCCCGGTCTGGGCATGGATGTTTCTCTCTCTCTCTGTTGTCTTCTGATGTATGAATGTGGCCCACCCTATGAACGGGTATTTGTGGCAGTGTGGCGTGGGTAATGTCGTTCGCCTCCGTGACTTTGGTTCACAGGTGCCCACTGGGTAACGATAAGTGAGCAACACTTTCGGCATCTTCTAAGGCGAAAAGCGAAAGTTCAGTGCCTACCGTTATTTAAAAAAAAAAAAAAAAAAAAGGTATCATTTATATAAACAAAAAGTGTGATGATTGAAGCATTTATTTTTTGTAGAAGATACTAGATGAATTATTAATTGCCATGAGTTGCAGAAGAATTTGACTAATAACTTTTCAACTGTCCATATGAATGAGATATTCCATATTTTTGATGTACCCTCATCCGATTGATTTAATTTCAAAACGATATTACATATCTGAAATGTACCATACCCCCTTCCCAACCTTTTAATCCTGGCGACTTATAACGTCGTTGCCGAGTGGAAGGATTAAAGCAGGATTTATGCCGGGAAGGAGGGTACAAAATTTATTTATTAATTATTAGACAGAGCAGTCATGAAAGTGTGTACGAAAAGTTGTGTTCCTTGGTTATATGTTAGGGAAAATCTTGCAAAGTAAAATCCGTAAAATGTCTTAATTTAGGGAAGGAGGGAAATCTTAGAAATTACTATTGGTTTATGAAATAGGTCGAGCGTTTCCCACAGAGAGCAAAGGGAAAAATGTCATGCTTTTAACTAAATGCATACTTGAGCCAAAAATAGGTTTAAGAACAGGATGTGGCTTTTAAAAGTGTGAGAAAGTATTTCGATTAGAATAATAATTAGGATGAAGTTTTATAGCAAAGAAACTAACATAAAAAGATTAATTGAAGCTTTTTATGTTACATATATATATATATATATATATTCTCAAAAAAAAAGCCACATTTCTAAGTTCTTGATATATTCATATGGTAGACATGACATTGTTATATTATTATATAGTAGACATTTTTATTTCACATTTTGCCTTATTTCACATTTCTTACCAGTGATTTTTCTAGTTAATTTTATTCAAGCACCTAGTAAAGAGGATTACATCTTATAATATTATTATTTCCAAAGTATCTCTAATTATATCAAAAACGAAGCTATAAACTAAAGTAACACGTTTTATAAAATGAGGTTAAGTACCTAAATTTTATATAATAATTAAACTTAAAATCATGTTTTTTTATAAAATTTTAGAAAATTAAACGGTTTTCAAGTTAGTTTTTTAATTTGAACAATTCAAATATTGGACAACGAAAAAATTTACTGTGATAATTTTTTATTTTTATTTAAACCACATTCAGTGATGTACTATGTAGTAATCGGCTCATGTCTGTACCAAACCGTAAGCGCTTATTCAGTAACGCCCTCATGTGGCGAGTATTGTAAGTGTTAAGTGCACATTGAGAAAATGTGACGACGGCGACAGATATTCAGGTAGGTACGTAAGTACTTTATTTACATCGCAGTAGTGATGCGCAATGGGCTATTGGCGACGGTTTGGGAAACATCCCTGAGGATGATCCAAAGACATGCCATCGTAATTTCGATCATCTGCTTTGGTAACCCGACGACCTGCACACNGAGTTTCCTAGTCTTCTGGATTGGTTCAAAATTACAAGGCTACGGAGTTGAACATTATCAGTCGTAAACCCAAAATTGGGTCGGCTGTTTATCTACGGATATTAAATATTTAAAAAAATATCACCGCTGTCTGCAAAAAAGGAAAAAAATCTAAATTATGAATCTTGTATAGAATACTAATAATAGTTTCTGAAAATATGTAAAAACAACGAATTCTTATATTATTCAAATGCATATACTAGAAACTGAAAGACTTTTGTTCTATTAAGTAAGTAATTATAAATCAAACTAATGATGTTTTACCAAACGTAGAAGTATACAGATGAAATATTGATAATACTGTTTAAAATAAACATCAATCGCAAATATTTAGTGTCTCTTCAGACATTGTATCGAGGGCCGATTATCTCGTAGTTTCGTGCGATAAGGCCGTGAATCCAGTTATAGTATGAGTCTGATACTATTCCTAGCCTATTATATTAATTTATTCAGTAAGTTAGCTTCATTGCCAAGCATTTTAGTTTAAAATTTTAATTTTCGATGATGTTTGTTTTGAAAAAAAAAATCGATATCATTCGACTTCTCAAATTTTATTAGATTATATATATATATACAATACAAATTCATACAAAATATAATTTTTTTGGGATTAGTTATTTTTATAAAATATTTAATTTAGTAAGGATTGAAAAAGTTTTGAATATTGTATGCTATACAGATTTTTACGACATTAAAAACACTTTTATTTTAAATGACGAAATTTGAAATTTGAATTAAATCTAACCAAATAGTTGTGTGTAACAGTAATAATACTGAATAGATAATACTTAATTGTAATAATGTAATAATACTTAATAGTAATAATACTTAAAAGAAGTCGGAATTTTAAATTTTCATTACTCCAGAACTATTCGACCGATTAATTTCAAAGTTGAATTTTTCGTCATTTAAAATTACATGTTCCAATATTATGCAAAAATCGAAATTCTTTGCAATTCAAACTTTTTATCGATATTAAACTAAATAATAAAAAATAATGTAAAGTCCAAAAGAAATATATTTTGCATAAACAAGTTTTATAATATGGTGCTTTTTTTTAAACTTTTATTTCTGATGATTGAGAATTTTTTGACAGCTCTATTCCATTTTAAAAAAAGTAGAAAAAATATTTTTAAACAGCGCTTGATAACTTTTAGAACTACTATGGACTTTTAATAAAAAATGGAGAACAATAAAATGAAGCGGTTTGCAATTTAGGATAGATAATTTATGTTATAAATCCGCTTATTTTTATACTCTTTTAAGAAAAAAATTGCTTTTATTATTTTTCTGAGGAAAACTGATTTAGATGATATGGAAAATTATCTTAACGTAAATTACAGAAAAACAGAAATACTCAAAAATCTAAAAATACACAAATTAATAATACTATAACTACATTTCTAATAATTCTAATTACATTTATTACAATTGTATTATTACAATTGTATTATTACAATTGTATTACAATCTAATTACAATTGTATTGGTATAATTTTGCCAGAAAAAAAAATCAATAGAAAATCTAAAATACTGTGTGTTATTTTTCTCAAATTCTAATCAATTGACGGTCATGTATACGATGAATTTTGCCTTGTAGAATAAATAATCAAAATCAGTTTTGTGAAAACTGAGCAGATCATTGATAACATAAATGAGTTTCCCCTTTTATCTATCATCCCCTTCGGATATGAATTCGGTCGGAAGGAAACATACAATATACTGATTATTCACTGAATATTAACGACTTTAAGTTTTATTCAAAGTTAGTTTAATTTAATATGAGTAGAAAATAAAAAAACGATTTTGAAAATGAGTCTCTAATCATTTGCTGATTTATTTTCTAAACTTTAAGACATCATTATTATTTTTGATTTTTTTTTTAAATATGAAATATAGCATATAACGGTAGTTTTTGTGTAAATCTATTTTAAAATGAAAGTTTGTGAGTTATGCAAAATTTGGAAGAAAATCAAAGACATATGAAGGAAAAATATATATAAAGTAGAGAAATCGTTTGCAGCGAACGCTACTTTTTGTTCGAATTGACGACATATTTGATGTGAAAATAATAATTTTAAAATAACCTCGTAATTGTTTCAAAAGAGGAGAAAAAAGATTTTTTTTTCATACATCGCTTAGAAATGAAATTTTAGCTAGATTGGGGGAAACTTTTCTATTTTACCTATTGTACTTAATATGTAAACAAAAAATGAAAATAGAAGATTCAGAAGACATGTTATTTATAAATTTCCTTTTGCAAAATTTGAAAGATTTTTCGCAATCTCTATCTCCTTCTTTTAATAATGTTAAAAGTCCCTTTTGGGTTATTTTAAAGCAACATAATTCGTAAATTTTTCATTTTTGGAATATTTTAAATAATTCAATCAATAATAGCAATACTTAATTATTGAATCATAAATAGTTTTTAGAGTTTTCGCAAGAACTCCTTCGAAGGAAGAAGTAGGCCAAAGTGGTGAAGCTTCCTCGTAGAGCGGTGATCCGGTTCACTGTCCTCCGTCTTCTGGATTGGTGGTTATCATGGTGAACTAACTTTTTTGAACACTACTGATCTGTTCACGACAAGATGCGGTGGTTGGTGTTCTCTATCCTGCTACTGACAACAGTTGCTCAGAGAGGTGAGGGATTTTTCATCCACTTTCTCCCGAAGTACTCGCAAAAGTTGTTATTCTTAATATTCTATAGTTGTTTCTCTATTTCTTCTCTATCAGCAGATCGAGTGATTCCGGATTCATATTTGTTAAGAACGTTATTACCTCTAAAATTACCTTTCGTTTATTCATTTTTATTTGGGGGAGGGGGTGATTTTATTTCAAATTTATCATTTTTAATCAAAGTCGATTCAAAATCTAAGTAACGTTTTAGTAAAAATGAAATGATATTATGACATCTATAAGCGGAATTGTTTAAAAATATAGTTGTAAATAAATAATGCACCAAAAATTTTGTATAATAATTTTTAAAAAAATATTAAATGAAGGAATTTTTTTTAAATAGTGTATTTAAGTTAAAATAAATTTTTCTTTTTTTAAATAATTATTTCTTCAATACTTTAGGTTAGACTTATTTCATATTATTACTTATATATATACATATATATATAAATAATGCAATTCATATATATATTAATAATTATCTAATATATAAATATTAATCCTATAATATATTAATATTAATCTTGTTACTGAAATATTAGTAATAGGAAGAATTTTTAATGCTTCGAAGCTTAGAATATTTATATGTATTCTAAACTTCAAAACTGTTTTTGGATCATTCTTTTAAAATCTTTATATAATCTTATCTCATAAGTTTTTATAGTATTTTAGACCTTATAACTATTTAAAAAACTTTCAAAGCCTGAACTTTGTCTTTCGAAGCAAATATTAATATTTGAGAGGACTGTCCTATTTATAAATTTGAGAGGTTTCATTAATCATGGGATGGATAAAAATATGTAATCATAACAATTGTAAAAATAATGATATCTGAAAACAGAGGACACGTTAAAGGTAGTTATAACGGAAAACAAGCTTGCTCAATATGATTGGGTCGGAAAATATTTTCATATTTTAGATATTAAATTTCAATGAAACTTATGGATAAATTTCCTTTTCTGCCATTTCAAACATTCTTTTAATATTTTTGTTTCACCTAGTTTAAAATAAATAGCGTTATTTGACATTGGATTCTATAGAATCTGAAGAAATTTTCGATGTTTACATTTTTTCTTAGTTGAAGTTTAGTGTAAAAGTGTATTATTTCTATATTATATTATGATTTTACTCAAGAATGAGGAACTATGGATGCAAAAATTTTGTTAAGGTATAATGATGTAGTTGACACTATTAATGCAACTGTAGATTACTTGAAGGTGCAGTTAAAGTGTGGTTAAGCAAAGAGGTTTTTCGATTTTCTTAAGATTCTGCTGCTCTATGAAGTATTTTAAAGTATTTTGCACGCTTGAGATATGTAGCATAGGCAGTAGCGATTGCACTGGAATGTTTAAAAAAGTTCTGTCGAATAGTTAACAGCCATTGTGGTTAAACAGTCGTATTGGGTAAAGTTGACATTAAGCAGGTTTCAAGCTTAGTCAAACATTTTAAATAGTGATTTTCTTTCAGGTAATTATTAACAATTTAACTACGTTTTCTAATTTTATTTTTTAAAATTTAAGAGTAATTTTCTAAATTTATTTTTTAATAGATGAATAATTAATTTTCAAAAAAAAATTCTTTTGAATTACTATTCTTAAATTAAAATTTTATTTAACGACGTGTTTCGTGATTAAAATATTTGTTTTATTTTTAGAAATTAATTTTTTTTTAAATTTTACTTACTAACTTATGCGCTATTCTACTGAATCTATTAAATAATAGTGCTAATTTAACACTCCTCCTAAGATATTCATATAATTTTAACAATAAATGTTCATCTTTAATTTGTGTTTCAACTTGTCACTGCATATAAATGAAATAGATATAAGGTCTCTTTCCTCTCGGCAACTGTCAAAAATTCTGAATATGCTTTTCTTTATCTTCATTTTATTTTTACAAATTTGAATATTTACTCAACTTTGGAGTAGCCTCCAAAATATATAAAATAAAAGGCTTTAACCTAATTAGAATTTGGGAAATATTGCTCTCTGTATTTTAGATTTTCGAATGATTTTTTTTCGAACAAAATTAAATTCTTCAACTATGTACTTCAAAAGGTAGTTTAGTATTACAGATTTGTGCTTTTTTTAGATTTTTGATAAGTATTTGTTCTTGCGTAATTAACGCTAAAACAATTTTTCCACCTCATGAAAATTTTTGTTTCATCAGCTTAAACAATAAAAAAAATAGGCTTAAAAAAAAGTCAAGAGTACAGTTCCCATCCAAAAGTTTGGTAATTGCATATTTTTATTGATTTATATTTTTTAAAAAATATTTAAGTTTTATGAGTTATTAATCACGATTTCTCTTAACATAAAAAATCGTTACCATCTTCTTCAACCTTTTTTTTAAAAAAGGTATAGGGCAGTCGAATGATGATTGTCTATCGTCAAAAATTTGTTAAGGAAAAAAAAAAAGAAAAAAAAAACATTTTAAAAAAAAAAAAAAAAAAANAAAAAAAAAAAAAAAAAAAAAAAAAAAAAAAAAAAAAAAAAAAAAAAAAAAAAAAAAACGAAAATCTAAGATGGCGAGGAAAGATGTGTCTTAAGTTCAATAATTATATATATATAGTTTTTACGCAAATGTTTTGAGAAATGTGTATTTACGTTACGAGAGGTGTAAAATTTGATAGAGTTTTTATCGCGGATTGTTTTTCAGCATAACTCAACAAAAGGACCTTCTTGGAATATTCGAAAAGCTAGATATTTAGTGTTTTTTTTTTCGTTTTTTCAGAGCTCGAGTGTGTAGTGTTGACGGAATCATGGTAAAAAAAAATTCATCCAAAAAGGAATAAATAGCTAGAAATATAATTTAATTGGTTAATTCCGTTTAATACTAGTTAAAATATCATTACATTTCACATTTTAAAGAGTTTGCTTTCATGCGTTGTTTAAAGTATTTTACAGTTTTATTAGTATTTTTGTTATTCATTTCAAATTAGTTAGAAAATATTAACTAATTCAGGTAATAAACACTTATTAACTTGTATTATGTTCCTTAATAGGCTTCATTGTATGCATATTTTTAATTTATTTTTTTCATTCTTGTTTGATTTTTCATTAATTAACTAACACGTAGCATTAAACAGAGACTAAAGTATTAAACATAGTATTATTATGGAAACACATAGTATTAAACGGAGAAAAAATAGGCTACTAGTGACTAATAGGCTTTAGTAGCTAATAGGCGTACTATAGCCTATTAGCTATTGCTTTCAGTTTAACATTTTGGATTCTTTTCCAAAATATCAAAAAATTTCATTGTGTATATTTCATTATTTTATTTTTAACATCAAAGTTTTCAAAACATTTTTTTTACTCAAATGTTATGCGACCATTTAGGATGGTTTTAAGATTCATTTGGAATTTTAGGTTGAATTTTAAATTTCTTGATGTGATTCAAGAGCTATAATTTTGAAAGGAAAAGAAATAAGCAAAAATAATAGAATAAAAAGGAATAAAAATAAATAATTAGATAAAAATAAACTTAAAAAAAAATGAAAGTGAATAAAATGAATAAATAAAAATTATTAGACAAAATATTTAATTAAAATGTGGGCAAATGATAACTTTCAAAAATTCCGAATTCCAAGGATTTTTTCACGAAAATGTTAAGGATTTAAATTATGCGGTTAGTAATTCAGAATAAGTAGTTTAATGCTGTATCTATGTCTGTCATTAGATATAGTGAACCTGGGATATAGTCGGATGTAGTGAACTATTTTAGCGTCCGTACTCCTACTTAAGCGTACTCCTATTAAAACAAACGAACGAAGATAGAGAAGACTTATTAGAAGAAAATGTAGAAGAAGAAAATGAAATTTCAGCCAAACAGTCATAAATGTCCTTAATATGTTTTTTTCTATAGAAAATGTAGATCAAAAAATCTTGTATTTTTTGCACATTGTGGATAAGAAAATTAATGAACTCTATTTAAAATCAAATTGTGTTCAATCACAATTTTTTTTTTCATAAAAAGGGAAATTAAAACAAATTTTTAGCTATGTAAGTACTTTCTTCATTAATTTTTGCTTTATTATCTGTTAATTAGTTAATAATTTTTTTAAATAACTTATGTAAAATTGCAAACCCAATTTTCAATCACTCAACAGTCTTACGCAAAAAATATTCTTCAAGAAATTTGAATATAATGAAACATCGTTTATATTAGACACATTACTGAGTTCGCAGACGGTTCAACCGTATTATAAAAAAAAAAAAAAAATTAAATCTGCTCTAAACAAAGATATTTTTCAAAAACCTAAAAGCAGGAAAGCATACAATATTAAATTACTCTTCGGAGAATGCTGATTGTAAAATGACATGCTATAATTTTGTCAAAAAACATCTGAATATGTTTTAAAATACCGCCCGCTATCCATTCCGATTGGGCGATGACCTTGTATTTCACTCGTGCTCAAAAAAGGCTGTTAATATATATATAAAAAAAAAAGAAAGATGATTAAAAGCTTCTGGTGGTTATAATAAGCAGAAGTTGAAATAACATGAAAAGAGGGAAGTCTCCTGACACGGAAGGTAAACAACAGCAATCATGCAAATATTATTTCCTCTTTCATTATTCAAGTGGAACTATTTCCTGAGTGGGTGCATATCTAATAAAGCTTCTTTTGTATTTTTTTCATCCCAATTCAATTTTACAATAATAACTTAAATTAATCTTAATTATAAGATTAACTTGCAGCTTTTGCAACTAATGCAAGCAGTCAGGGTCTAGAGCCTGAACTTTGGTTTTGTACCTCCTTCAGAAATGTGCCATTTTTTATTTTCAAAGTCTGTCTCAATCAAAAAATGCCACATTTTTAAAAAAATTTTAACGAAACCCACATAAATTTTTATAATATCACGTCTGTGGACCGGTTGGCTGGGCAGTGAGCCCATGCCCAAGAAGTTGTGGGTTCGATCCCCACCGGCCGAAGACTCCCCATATAGTAAATGGTGACCGAT